ATTGATGTAAAGAATGTGTGGTTAAAAAGTAAGAAGAATTTTTGGGTTTATGTGTAATATTATTTTATTTGAAAAATGTGTGATTAGAAATGAGTACTGTAGAAAAATGAGAATGAGAATGAGATAAAAAAATGGGTGTCAAACGGAGGCTTAATAAGTAGGATAGCCAACTTAACTTAGAGGTAATATTACTTTATCTTTTTGGTCATGGAATCCAGAACAAAGAGGCTAAGAGCGTTAAGATTATTTGAAAAATATAATCTAATGCTTTTGAATAAATTAATTACTTACTTACTTAGGCCCTGTTTGGGAGGAATTAAATTTTTCTACAGTAAATCAATTCTCATTTTCAACCACACATTCTTCAATAAAATAATATTTTCCATCACATCAATAATTTTTTCTTTTTTTTCAACCACACATTTCCCATTATATCACTATTCAAAATCAATTCTTCCCCCAAAAATCCCTCCCAAACAAGCTCTATATATTTCTTCACAGGTAAGTTAAAAATTCAAAACATGTTTCACAGCAAGGTAATGATTATTTTTGTAAAATTTAATTATTTTAACTTGAAAAAAAGGAAAATATAAGGGCATGTTCTCTTTACAATTTTTAAGCCGTTTTCTGTTTTCGATTTTTCAAAACAGTGAAAACGTGTTCTCTTTCCTATTTTCGGAAACGCGTTTTTAAAAATAAGTTAAAAATTTAGAAAGAAAACTTAAATGACAAATTTGTCGTTTTGGGTGTTTTCAGTTATAATCAAGTCAAAATTTTCAAAACTCGTTTTGGGTGTTTTCGAAACAATTTTTCAAAATGTCAAAAAGAACACATTTTCAACATCTCAAAATGGACACTCAAAATACAAAATTGAAATATAAAGATAACAACCCCTACGTTATTCCATATATTTGAAACAAAAGGTTACGAGAGATCAATTTAATTTTCTTTTCTAAATTAGTAAACATGATGAAAAACTCAGAGAATAGGGGTACGCAAGAAGAAAAGGTCAGAAGTCAGAATGATAACAATGGCTCAGGACTATGTTCTCAATCCTTGACCTTGTGGTATAAATTTGAGTATAAAACGAACATTCACGTCTTAAGATGTTAAAAAAATTATTTTTGCGTGTCGACGTATTATCAAACGTGGTTATAAAATATAAACGACTCCACATCAAACGAGTCGTGTTTAAAAATTTGGATGATTATCACCACATGAAAATACTTCAATGACCATTAGTATAATAAAAACTTGAGTTACCATTTTTTATATTAACCGATGATGTGGCATCATAAATAACACATTTTGATGACACGTCATCGCTTAAAGGTGCCACGTAAGCTTCAACGTCAAGTTTTTCTATTTTATCAAAGTCAAGTACATGCAGGACATGTCTTAATCGCAAGTGCATTCGCTATTCTATTTCATCCTCAATCTCACAAAATATGAATTTCACCATTAATGTAATCGTTGGAAACTTAAGTGACTGTTATCGTAAGAAAATTAATTCAATGATCATTAATATAACCTTAAAAAACTTAAGTGACCATTGTTGAATAACCATTTATAAACACTCAAATCATTTTATCCACATATTTCGAGAAATTCACAAACATTTATCCATCGCTCATTTCTATCTTTTTATAAATTAAACAGTTTATAAACGCTTCTCAAATATGTTTTTAATTTGCGCGTTATTCTGGATATCAAAAATATTTCTACACTTCTCCCCAAAATTCGCTCTTTTAATACCCTCTATGTGATTCACATTTTTGTCATGGCATACACATTTTTCCTTCTAGTGACTAGTATATTGTTATACTTTGTGGATCAGCCACTTATGGTCCCTCCTCAATATGCGTGGCTGTTGTGTGTCTAGGCTCATATTTAAAAACAAAAAAAAACAAAAAAAAGGGGGTTGAACCCCAACTGTGAGGGCCCTCATCGCCTCGCCCCCCAAAGTATTGTGGAAGAGGTAAATCACGGGATATGCCTCAACATGCCAGGGTACAACAGATGCCATATTAGTGCTCACAAAAAATTCAATTTCATACATTGTAAGAGGCAGAAATCGAACCCTCACACTACGGCTGCCAGCTCAATTGAGACTACCTCACTCATGTTCTTTGCACCACTAACCTATGCCCTGGGGGCGTGTCTGGGCTCATATTAATATCATAGAAGTATGATCAATTACTTAATTTCAATTAATTGACACACTGACTACTGACCATTGACGATACATATAGATAGCATTATTTGATGTTTACCACCATCAGTACATTAAGTCTTGTTTGATAGGGGTTAAAATCTAGATTTTAATTTAAGTCAATATCAACAATTAATTTTAATTATATTTCATGGGATCCACGATTTTTTAACTACACATTTCATCAACTTTTATCAAAGTTTATTAAAAATCTTTTTTTAATCTCCACCAAATAGAGACTAAATGATAAGTGAATTACATGAATCCATATCTTTACATTTAGTCCATGTTTGTCAAAAAAATAAATAAATAAATCAAACTCATTTACAATCTCACATTCACGTAATAAAATATTTTGCATGTAACATTATTTATTTATTTAATTTTAATTTTTAACCACATATTCTCCAAAATTTATTATCACCAAAAAAATTTCGATGAAGTATATGTATGAATTGACGAAATTAACTTCAAATACGAGGTTATCTGAAAGACATACAATCATTTGACAGAAAGAGTGGCTGCCTCATTTAGCAGGGACGAACTTGCACTGAAAATGAAAGAATCAAACTACAAACATAAAATATTTGATCATGGAGACTGATACGCTCTCTTTGTCAAACTTAAGAGACCTGACTGCAAAGTTTCAAATAAAAAAAATATTTTGTATTGAGACATTCTTCAAGAAATTAATATTTAATTAATTTTAAGAGGCAAAGCAAAATCCAATTCGATTTCTTCAATTCCACTGGCGTTACGTGCATTAAAAATTTCTCTCTCCGCCTTGGATATTAGTCATCATGCAAACCCGGAAAGTGCATTTCCTATATATACGCATTTATGAATGGTGGCTCAAGGATTATCACAAAATTCGCCAAAAAATCAAGAGAACAGTAAAGGATACGAACCAGACGCTTACCCTGTGAAAGGTAAGAACTGACTGGACTGCAGATTTTTTTTCTGATTACTTGTCAAACGCCGGTTAAATTTACTCACGCTTGTGTAAATATGTCATTTCGGGTGTACAGCAAAATTGGGTTTTCTTGGTACCGAATGACATCATAAAGCGTTGAGTCCAAAACCAATATTGGGTGGCAAAGATTTTCCTTTCTCGGTTGTGGTGGGGTAGGTCGCTAGGAAAAAATCAAAGATTCATTTTGTGAAGAAAACATACCGACATAGGTACTGGAGTTGCTCCACCTGATTTGATAGAGAGGTGGGTTTTGGGAATTTCGAGGTATTCTAAGTTTTATCGATGCTTTTCTTTTGGAGGATTGCATGCTTCCCAATTGATTTCGCTCTCTTCAATGTCAAGCATCTAATTTTATTAATTGATTGGGTTTCCATTGTTGTGAAATCATTTTCTTAATACAACCCAATGGTTTTTGTTTCTATATATCACCGCTACTTCATAAGTTGCAGTACAGAGTCTAGTTATAAATATGCCGCGGTTGAATTCTTGCTTAGAGGCTGAAGGAACAATAGAATTTTCTTTTTCTATTGTTCAAATTAATTTAGTTTTTTTTTTCTTTTTTCAGTTGAAAATGGTAATGAGAAGAGTGGATCTCCGGTCTGACACCGTCACTAAACCAACTGACACCATGCGGGCAGCAATGGCGAGTGCTGAAGTTGATGATGACGTACTGGGTAACGACCCAACGGCCGCTCGCCTTGAAACGAAGATGGCAAGAATCATGGGTAAGGAAGCAGCACTGTTTGTCCCTTCAGGCACAATGGCTAACCTGATTTGTGTGCTCACTCACTGTGCAATTCGGGGAAGTGAAGTTATTCTGGGGGACTATTCTCATATCCATATTTATGAAAATGGAGGCATTTCCACGATTGGAGGCGTTCATCCAAGGACAGTGAAGAATAATGAAGATGGGACAATGGATATTGATCTAATTGAGGCAGCTATAAGAGATCCTGCATTTGAGATCTGTTATCCAACTACTAGGCTCATCTGCTTGGAGAATTCACATGCACAGTAAGTCTAACCTTCCAGCAGAAGACTCTTTTGAACATTTTTATGGATTAAACACCATTTCTACTCTCGAAAGCAAAAATAAACAGAACAAAAAGGAAATGCACTTGGAAAACACCGATATTTATAGCAGTTCGCTCTCAGTACTCAAGCAAAATGGATAAAGACCTTTTACACAGATTGCTCTGGCTAGTTTTTTGAGGTTTTGCAAAGCATTTGGCAAGTTGTTAGTTCATATACCCTATAAACATATGATCATGTCAAGCATTTGCTATGTTTCCAGCAGTTTGTTGTGCTCCTATTATTCCTGCTTGAATTATTTTCTGGATGGGGGTGGGAACACTTGGATAGCTCTTTGGGTTTTGTTGAAAGATGATGTTTTTTTCAGTAAAGAAAGTATCAGAATTTTCTTTATTAAAGCATTTTCCCAAAAACCAGAGATCTTATAAAATTTATTTATGGCTAAGTATGAAAGCATATGGTAATTACAGGGTGGCTTAATCTTTTGCAGAATCAGAGCTCATGAAAGTTAGAAGAATGAAACTATGCCTGCAAAACTAAGTTAACAAATACAGTTGTTTTTTTCTGTTCTTTTCTTCTGTATGTGTGATTTTTGCTCACCATCTAACAATTTTCACTAGCACTTCCTGATAATGTCACAGTGAAGTACGGTAGAATGATAATGATTACTACTATGGTAAGAAAGTAGGGGAGAGAATAGGTACAGGTCAAAGGGTATCTCGTTTTTTGTTTTGTTATTCAATTCGTCAAAAGTCTGATAGATTGAAGGATTAAACTGAGAAGCACAATGACTGGTTCAAACTTTTTACTCTCAAGACACATCTAGTACAGGGTAAAAAACTGAAGTGTGAGAATAGTAAATTCCATCGCTTTTCCCTCATACCATACTAGTATATTATTTCGACCTTTAGATAGATGTGAATGCATATTATATAAGACATTTTTCTTGTGCTAGTTTTACGTTTGAGGATAGTAGTATATTGGTCCAGAATGTCTATGTTTCTGTAGTGTTTCACCAGAAGATATCTGTGGTTAGAGGGTATTTGGTGTATTTCGTATGTGCTTAATTTTTGTCATAACTTAGAAAGGGGCACCTTATGACAAGTTAATTTATTTTCATATTCTTGACGGTTGCCTACGCTTAATAAAAGATTCGGAGACCCCGAGGTAAGCTTAATTCACAGGGTATGTCTTTCCATTGAAGAAGTTTCCATGCAATGCTAGGGGGTTGGGTGTAGTTGACGATGTGGGGGTGCAGACATTATCTCTTGCGTGTAGTTTGTGTCTTTTTCTTAAAGATTGATTCAGAAATGTAGGTGTCTAAACGAAATACTAACTAAAATGCATTTTTATTATTTTGAATAAAAAACTATCTGTTATTGCTCTTCCTTACTGGAGATCCTGTTTGTGTCTCTCGGTAGTGCATACATACGTTATTTAAGAGCTAGCAACATCATTTTTTTTTTTAAAATCCATTTCCTTTGTGAAAAATCAGACTGTTGATTCTTCTTTTGATGAGTTTTCATAAGGGGATTTTTTATTGATGCAGCTCTGGTGGGAGATGTATTTCTGCAGAGTATACGGACAAAGTTGGAGAGCTAGCAAAGAAGCACGGTTTGAAGCTTCATATTGATGGGGCACGCATTTTCAATGCATCAGTGGTGAGTCAATTTTTCTCTCTGTACACTCTATAGGTATATATGCCTATAGAAAGACATACATACGTACGTACGTACATACAGACACACACACTTCCCATCACTTTGTGGAGAGAGCTTTTTCCCATTTTTCTGTATTTTTTTTTTTAAATCAGCTCCTCCCCATTTTTATTTTGTATAAAATGGCCCAATTTAAATCTGAAAATTAGAAGGCAAGGACAAATTAGGTCAATTCACAAAGTAGTCCCTATGTGCCTCTCCATCATCCTTTCCTTCCCCCTCTTAAACCCACTCTGAGATTCTTTACTAGCATGACTCAGTCTTGGTCATCTAGAACGATTTCTGCCGTCAACCACCTTACACCTCTCCTTTGATTCATACCGGCACAATGAGCTACCGTTTTCTGCCTCCATTAGACTTTAAGGCCAAGTCTCTGTTCATCCTCACAATTCCCAACATTTCAAGGACACAACTTCAACATATTCATCCATCTCTAATTCATCCTTATGTCTTTTCAGTATTATTCCTAAGGCCAAATATAAAATGATTTTGCAAACGAAAAATTGATTTATACAATTTGAAATGTTAGGTTCTAATATGAAAACAAAGTGTGATCCTTGTCCCTTTGTTTTGAATTTTTTTTACCATACTATCTATCTTTTAGTCTATAGAATAAATTTAGAGGCTTAAATTTTATAGATCAATCTACTGTATTCTCTTCATATACGTGTATATCATTTCCCCATTTCTATGAAATTTCTAAGTCGTGTTCATTGTTCAGTTATGCAAGAATTCAAAGAGCCAAATCGATGTGTCTTGTCACCATATCTGAAAATTTTATACGCTAAGTTGTATAAGGCTCAAAATTTCTAAACTATTGAAATGAATAAGCAAATTATTAACTGAGTGTGTGGCGAGCAAAATTTAGTTGGAAGGCATTACACATAATAGGACCTCTGCATGCCAAAATACTTCATTCCAAGTCAAACCCATCTTGTTCAAAAAACTCTAAACCAACTCTCAAACTTAGAAGTGAGCATTCCCAAGCTGTCTTAGACGTCTCACAATAGCAGTGGCAATGTTGACAGAAAACAACATATAGTCTTGATTTTTTCCTATGTTCGATCACCATTTTTACTTGAGTGGCTAGAATGTCACCTACTGGGTTGAACTTGTTTTGTGTCAGTTTGGTCTGTGTCTAGCCACACTGTCAAACCACCCAGGAGAATGTGGACTTGTCATTAAGAAAACATTTATTTTCAGGGGCATGTGCAGTGCTTCAAACTTAATTTCTTTTTTTTTCTGTTACTGGATACCATTAAATTGGATAAATCTTTATTCCAGGCACTCGGAGTTCCTGTTCACAGGCTTGTGCAGGCAGCTGATTCAGTAACGGTATGTCGATGGAAGCCAAACTCGAAGTTTTTTTTTTTGTCCTTACTAGTTTCTGCATAAGATTTTATTCGTCTTCGAGAATGATTTCCTAAATTTCTTAAAGACAAACAAAAAATTATAGTCATATAGCATTAACTCATCTTTGGTATCCACCAATGCATTGTGTTAGATTTAAGTGTCCTTACCTCAATCCCTCATCAAATGAGTATGTGATGTAGGCTTGTTTATCAAAAGGTCTTGGTGCTCCAGTTGGAACTGTGATTGCAGGCTCAAAAAGCTTCATTGCCCAGGTAAAGTGTTACATCTTTCCTTTTTCTTTTTGTTTGCTAAGGCTTTGAGAAAGAATTCAATTTTCTGTTCTAATTTGAAAGATACTTCCTTTTCCTTTGGTTCTATATAAAAGGCAAAGATTCTCAGGAAGACTTTAGGCGGCGGAATGAGACAGGTTGGCGTCCTATGCGCCCCTGCTCTAGTTGCATTGGAAGAAAATATTAGTAAACTTGAAGACGATCATCAAAAGGCTAAGATTTTGGCGGGTAACTTTTCCCTTCTAGGTGTTTCACATAAAAAACTAATTTCCATTCCAAACTTTGATCACATGCCATATTTCCATATTACATATTTGTGGTTATTTTTCAGAGGGACTGAACAAAATCAAAGGATTAAAAGTTGATATGGCTTCCGTGGAGACCAACATTGTAAGTTGCATTATTGTTAAAGCCGTAGATAAGTCGGCTTTTTTTTCAGCCATATTCTCTTTGGGGGAACACTCGCTGAATTTATTGATGATTCAGGAATTTAAAGCCTTTGAACTATTTTATAATAATCTATCTCTGCATAGTGACAAGATTTGAGGCTGACACAATTGAAGTTACCCTTCTAAATATCTTAGGATTAAACCAGTTCATCCAATAATGTAGTATTTCTTAATTAAGCTTTTGAGTGGAATATATCACAAACTTAAAAGACTAAATTGAAGTTCTATCTTAAAATGTATTGGTATTAAAGGTCGCAGTCCATGTCTTAGCAACGGGACTTGTATAGAACTAATTGAACATACTTCCCTAAAGCCTTCGAATGGAAATATCCCTCGTATAAGGAAAATTTGACCTTGATCTTTTATCATCAACCTCGAGGGCGGATCTTCTGCCACAGAACTGTGGTATTCGGATTTCATTGCTCCTACTTGATACAAAGCTGCACTTTGGTTTCGATTTTTCGAAACTTGATACATCTTTTTAAGAACCTATCCAGTTACTCCCTTGCAGAGACTTATTGCTTCTATCAAGATTCTGTTTAATTCAAAGTTCAATAACTATGCAAAATTGAGTGTCCATAGATCAAACTCATGCTAGTGGTATGTGTCTTTTATTTTTTTTCTAATCATAATTTTCATTGAAATTGTCCATAGCTGTTTCCTACGAAGGAAGCTGAGATAGTTATCTTTTCTTTTACGATATCAGGTGTATTTTGACATTCTTGAGGGCTCAAATATCACGGAAACTCACTTATGCAAGATTCTAGAAGCACATGGTGTACTAGCAATGCCAGAAGGGCCCCTAACGTGCTTCTCTTCCTTTGGATATCTTTCATACTATTTTACTATATTCTATTTATTGTGCATGCTTGGATTCAGGTCTTGCTATCCTTATAGTTATTCCTGTAGTTTATATGTCTACTCCGTCAAAGACTAGCCCTTGTTTGAGCTCCATTTTGGGGACAAAATGCATTTTAAGAATAGTGATTTTGGGAGAATGTGTGGTTTAAAAAAAAAAAGTTTCCGATTTACGTGTAAAATTATTTTATTGAAGAATATGTATTTGAAAATGAGTTTTGAAAAAATAGGCTCAAACAAGCCATAAATATAATTTCTGGACAAACCCTTGTATCATCACCTCTCGAGGTGTCATACTGCCGGAAAGACCCTGGCCCCTAGTACTCATCACTCATTCACTTGTGGATTCTTGACTTGGCAACTATATCTGATTTTATTGATTTGCATGCTAATTTTGTTCTTAATCAGAATGTTTTAATTTATTTGACATTTGCAAAGAAATTGACGCTAAAATTATTAATTTGCAGAATGAGACTTGTCGTTCACCACCAAATATCGGAAAGCGATGTGCAGTACACGCTGTCTTGCATTCAGGTAATATTTATAGAAACTTGTCTTAATGAATAATTTTGCTACAAGTAGTTGGAGTTTTATGTGTCATTTTTATTTTCTATTTCAGAAAGCAGTCAGTGGGTTCCTTGGTGAAAATGGTGGCAAGTGAAGTTCCCCTTTTAGAAGATCCTCGTTTGGGTGTAATGGTGTTTCATGTTTATCAGAAATTTGAAACCTTAAAGTAGAAAACTACATATGGAGCTGTAGCTCTAAAAACATTTTACTATATCTACTAAGGTTGGACATGGTCCGATTTGATTTGATTTGATTTTGAGACTGGACATGGTCTGATTCGGGTATTTAATAAATGAAATTGCCGGGTCCAAATATAATTATGGAACCCTTCGAGTTTAGTTCGGTTCCGTATCAAAATTAAATTTTTTAACATTTATAGTAGTACCACATAAATACAACTAATGGCATGTTCATTCGTGACTTTTACAAATTAAGTGCACTATTTAACATTAAGAATATTGAATTTCATCTAGTAGGAACATCTAAAAATAAAATAACAAGTTTTTTGCATACAATATTTTCTCTTTTAATACAATATTTAAATTTCATCAACTTGGAAGGATTTGATCGAAAATATCAAATGAAAGTACGAAATTGGAAAGGGAAAGATAAAAACTTAAAAAGACCTGGATCTTGGGCTTAACAATGAAATTAATGATGGAAAAAATCATAAATCAGGTATTAACTATCACTGAATCAATTTTCAGACCTTACGTTTAAAAATTGAAAAAATCAAGTATTTGTTAATTAATTAAATACATTAAAATCACAAACATCACCACATCACACCACACCACCAACCCGCCACCACCTCCACCCCCGTCGATGCCAACACCATTATAGACATCACCACCACATCACACCACCGCAACCATATCGCACCAACTGAGATACATCACACCACCCCAACCGCCATATCCACCACCACACAAGACACCACTTAGATATGGTCGCGGTGCTTCGCAAATACTGTTGTTTCTTTGCGTGTGTTTAGAGAGAGAAGTGGGTCGGTGATGGGAGAGAGAGAGAGGACAGTGAGATGGGAGTTTTGGACAAAGACGAGAGGCGAGGGAGAGAGGTGAACGGCAGCATCGCCGCTGCGACGACTCGACGCGACGCTGCCGTCGCGCCAGAGAGAGGGGAGGGGAGGAAGACGATAGGTGAGAGATGGAGGGAAGGGAGTAGTGTGTGTTAAAATTAGAGTTATTAATTGGGAATTTAATATATATTACCTTATTTTTGAAAATGAATTTTTAAACACCTGATTCGTGTAATTTTCCCATTAATAATTGGGAAAAAAAATTAAAACAAAATATTGAATTTAGAAATTGTGTTGGGCTGAACTAGCTAGGCATGAACTTAGTTTGAAAGTTGAAGTATTAATCACTAAATTAGTTAATTTATTTAGAAAAAATTAAAAAAATTATTTAAATTCGATTCTTGTTCGGTTCTTGGTCTAGAACCGAACCAAGCCCACTGGTTCTCAATTCAGATACCGGTTCGATTATTTAACTTATGAAGAACCACTCCATTTGGTTCGGTTCGAGAGTTTTGTCCAACCCTAATATTCACCATATTGCCAAATTCTGGTTTTATTTTGTGCAGTCCATACTCATAGTCGCTTGTTTGATAGGGAGGATAGGAAAAAAAAAAAACCTAAAATCTTGTTTATATTCCGCTAAGAGTACAGTGAATCGAGCTCAAAATCGAGAGTTTAAAACAAAAGACCCAACTTTATTGGCTTGTATAAATATGTGAACATGTACAGCGAAGTGAATGGTTTCTTTTACAAACTGAGGGTAAGAATACAGAGGCACACCTTGTATAGTTGAGTTGAGATACTGACTTAGAGGCATACTTATTAACAGAATAAGTTTAAGTAATAAAAAGTGTAAGTTCCGGTAAAAACAAAAACAAAACAAAGCAAAATTTTATAACTAACTAGTGATGATTTGCTTAATTAGACATCACTGTCAACTTCTGAAATGTCCAGTCGAAGAATCCCAAAGAAAGCTCTTTCCTGGGCATAATTTCTCAAGTAATCTCTTAAGTTTCCCTTCTTCTGCTTTCTTTTGAAGCTCAACCCCAAAAGACACTGGCATTCGCTGAACGGATGATCAAAGTACAGGAAAAGAGTGAATAACTTGGTCATGAGGTGAAAAACCCAAAAAAAAACTATCTACCTTTGCGAGCCAAATAATATAGGTAGCAGAATAGATTGCTTGTGCTTGATAGTCCTCAAAGTCATTATCAGGGATGATTGTGCAAGACTCGTAAAGTTTCAATTCGTTATCCACAAACTTGCTATTGTCACAAATCTCAGTACNTCACTAAATTAGTTAATTTGTTTAGAAAAAATTAAAAAAATTATTTAAATTCGATTCTTATTTGGTTCTTGGTCTAGAACCGAACCAAGCCCACCGGTTCTCAATTCAGATACCGGTTCGATTATTTAACTTATGAAGAACCACTCCATTCGGTTCGGTTCGAGAGTTTTGTCCAACCCTAATATTCACCATATTGCCAAATTCTGGTTTTATTTTGTGCAGTCCATACTCATAGTCGCTTGTTTGATAGGGAGGATAGGAAAAAAAAAAAACCTAAAATCTTGTTTATATTCCGCTAAGAGTACAGTGAATCGAGCTCAAAATCGAGAGTTTAAAACAAAAGACCCAACTTTATTGGCTTGTATAAATATGTGAACATGTACAGCGAAGTGAATGGTTTCTTTTACAAACTGAGGGTAAGAATACAGAGGCACACCTTGTATAGTTGAGTTGAGATACTGACTTAGAGGCATACTTATTAACAGAATAAGTTTAAGTAATAAAAAGTGTAAGTTCCGGTAAAAACAAAAACAAAACAAAGCAAAATTTTATAACTAACTAGTGATGATTTGCTTAATTAGACATCACTGTCAACTTCTGAAATGTCCAGTCGAAGAATCCCAAAGAAAGCTCTTTCCTGGGCATAATTTCTCAAGTAATCTCTTAAGTTTCCCTTCTTCTGCTTTCTTTTGAAGCTCAACCCCAAAAGACACTGGCATTCGCTGAACGGATGATCAAAGTACAGGAAAAGAGTGAATAACTTGGTCATGAGGTGAAAAACCCAAAAAAAAACTATCTACCTTTGCGAGCCAAATAATATAGGTAGCAGAATAGATTGCTTGTGCTTGATAGTCCTCAAAGTCATTATCAGGGATGATTGTGCAAGACTCGTAAAGTTTCAATTCGTTATCCACAAACTTGCTATTGTCACAAATCTCAGTACTTTCGCAGCAGGAAGGGCCAGATATGTTTTGATCACAGGTTGCAAAATATTTCATCCAGAGCAATGAGAGGAAGCGCCGATGAAGCCATAAAGCCTTGAGAAAAATGAATACCACAGAACAATCGTAAGTGCACTCATGAATATAAGACAATATATGATGCACACTATTAGACAGGACTAGTGTATAATGGACAAGGTTAGCATTTTTTACATTTTTAATACTATCCGCTATTGTCCCATCCACATTACGAAGCCCGTGAAAGAGTTACAATATCACAACAGAAGCACAATACCAAAAAAGCGGGATCAAATTATGAGTCCTAGATCTTTCTAGAATCCATATTAATTCAATTATATGATATCGCGGTCATTGAAGTCCTTTATATGCAGAAAAAACAATAATGATTACGTACCTCTCTTCCAACGTACCGCATTATCAACAACCCAACCCAGTCAAGCTCCTCCTGTCATGCATCCATTGCCAAAAGTTAAAGATCATAAGCTTTAAGAAAATAGCAAGGCTGAAAGAACACAAGTTTATTATAGAAAGTACAAGCCATCTGACATTTAAATATTTTATTTAATTATAATATTAAGTAGGGAAAATTGCAGCCACGGTCCCAAATATCTCACATTTTTGCAGACTTTGCCTGAATTTAAGCTTTGTGCCACCCACGGTACCAAGCCTTTAAACAATTCGCACCCGGAGTCCAAATGAACGGTTTCCGTCCAGTTGACAGTTAGTTGACCAAAAAAATCAAAATTGACCAAATTCATTAAGGACAAAATGATAACTTTGTATTTTACATTTAAAATGATTATAAAGAAAAGAAAAAGAAAAGAAATAAAAAAACTACTGTTCATCTTCTTCACCCAACCCCTCCTCCTCCACCAACACCCCACCCCACCTCACCTTGTCTCACCTCAGTTTCCCTTCTCCAGCCAACAGTGCTGGCACACCGCTGTGGCAGCACAACCACCACAATATACAACAAGGAACAACACACAAAAAAAGGCTGCGAGCTAGTGTTATGAAATCAATGTACAGAGTTGAGAGAATGATGCACAACAAGTCAAATTATTAGCATTTCTTTGGGAGAAATATCAAAGATAAGAAGCAAACCTTTTGATAGAGAAATTGCAAGCCTAATAGAGCTTCTGCTTGGAGTCAAAAAGTATATGCATATGGCAAAACCTCATCAATGCCATGGCCTTCGCCTTGCACCCATGAACCCCACACCCATTGACAATATTTTTCACATCGTTAGCCCCTGAATTTCCATTCTTACTACCATTCCAATTAACGTTCTCTTGAATTAATCTTGTTCAATCCCCGCAATTCGAGTTGATTTTCTCGTTCTCTTCATCTTCTTGAAAAGGGCTTTTGTCGTACTCCTAGCGGTACTATGTGTACTTGAGTTTGAGCTCCTCCATTAAGGCCCAGTAGTGGTCTTAGTAAATTCGGACCAGTTGCTTAGTCCAGCGGGCTCGACGTTTTAGCACCTTGGGTCGCATCATTGAAGATGACGATGAAGGATCAATCATATAAGGGTTTTTGATCGGGTTTCCCAGCGAGGGAAGGAGCAGAAAAGGAATTTTGATAGTGGTGGTTGTTGGCGGTGACGACGATGGCGGCACTGTTGGCTGTAGGGTGTAGAAGAAGATGGTTGGGGTGGGGGTGGGGGTGGGGGTGAAGAAGATGAACAGTAGTTTTCTTATTTCTTTTCTTTTCTTTTCTTTTTTTTATAATCATTTTAAATGTAGGTGAAGAAAATGAACACTAGTTTTTTTATTTCTTTTCTTCTCTTTTTCTTTTCTTTATAA